AGATACTTTGGGTTAAAAGATCGGCTAATTTCCTAGTTGACGGTTTAGCTAAACAAGGGGCAGAAAGGGATTCACTTTTTTGGGCTAAGCTATAACTATAGTGTGTTTTTTTTCTTTTTTTCTTTTCTTGAGGTTCTTTGTTGCTCTTGGAAGATAAGCGTGTTTGTCTTCCTATTGTAAATCTTCTTTTGATGAGTTAATGAAAGTGTTATTGATCAAAAAAAAAAAAAAACAATTATCCCCAAAATGACTGATCCCTGTTACCTCTTGCTAGCACATCAGCCAACCCATAGCCGATCTAGGAACCCATTTAAATGTAACCTCTAGGTTCCTAATCAGCCACCTAATTCCGTAACTTTTTGCTTGTATTTCTACAACCCCTGGTCATCATGCAGCAGTCAGCCTGTCACCACTCAGCTTTCATCATTACTCTCTCCGTGCTCATATATATATATATATATATAAGTGCTTCATTTTTTACTGTTTTTACTGTTCCATATATCCTAGAGGTTTTGATGCTTTCCCTGGAAGACTGCTATTTTGGTTGTAGAGGGTGGTATACTATAAAGAACTTTTTTGAAAAGATACTTGAATACATGGTTCTGGATATTGTAAATTGGAAAAATCATGTTATCTGTGTGAGTGTGGTTTGGTGGGGGGTATGTATTGCATAGTAGTGGATATTAATGTTTTAGTGACTTTTCATATTATGTTACTTTTGAAAGAAGATAGTTTAACTTTTTGTTGTTCTTGAGGCATTGCTTATCTCTTCTTGAACTTTTTTATTTTATTTTCTGCTTTATCTATCTCATCTTTTTCATTTACATGTAGGAGTAAAAAATTAGATGCCTTATCTTGTAATTATTACAAAAGGAAATACAATGCCTCTGGTGTCTGTAAGTACTATGGGCTGATTATAAATATATAAGCAATTATTAGACTTGCACATTAACATTATATTGACAACCCATTGCAAAGGGATATTCAAGTCTTCACTTTAATGCATTACTATGTTCTCAGAGTTGGCAGGTCATCATAATGTTGAAGTCTGTGGTTTTCTTGTTTATGATGATATTGTTAGGCTTGTAACTTATTAAGTTGATGGCCTGGCTTGCAGGTTCATGTTCCTCCATCATGTATGCTTGATGGAGTGCACTCACAACATTTCTTTGGGACTGGTGTTATTGTATACCATTCTCAAAGCATGGGATTGGTTGCAGTTGACAGGAATACAGTTGCCATATCTGTTTCTGATGTGATGCTTTCTTTTGCTGCATTTCCAGTGGAAATTCCTGGGGAGGTACATTGCTGAGACAATTTGGTTGTTATTTAAGATAAATATATCCACATGACCCATTTGAAACTGCAGGTAGTTTTCCTCCACCCTGTACACAATTATGCTCTTGTTGCATATGATCCCTCTGCTTTGGGAGTTGCTGGTGCCTCAGTTGTTCGTGCTGCTGAACTTCTTCCTGGTAAGTTTTATCCTTGACAGGACTGTTTGGTTTCCCCTTCTTGTCTCTCAGACTGGAGTTGGTATGTTTTTAATTTGGTATGAGCTTGTCTGTCAAACTTATTGTTTGTCAGATTTGAGCAGAAAGCTCTGAGATGTCAAGTGATACACAACTAATATATTAGAATTTCTCCAACCATGTTTTGGCATGCTTGACTTGGCAGCTAGGGAAATGTTTTTGGTTGGTAAGTTGATCATATTAGAAACATGATCTGATTATTAGCACTCCTTCAATTGCTTGTAGTACATTTCCCTATCTTGACGAGAAATTTTTTGTTGTTAATCATAAGAGTTATATTAAGTTGTATAAAAAGAAAAACAGTCATGTATGAGGCATAAATGTGCCTTGCACCTGACAGGCTTTATTCTAGCACTTGTTACCTGACCCTTTGGTATCTCTTTTATAACCAGTCAACCATAATCTCTCAGGTTGATAATCCCCCAAACACAGCTGATTCCCTATCTGTAACCATAATCTACCAAATTGTTATCTGATTATCTGGTCCATGTTAATGTGGTCCTTAACTCCTAGACAGTGGTAATCTGATTATGGTTTTACAATCAGTCAACCATAATCTACCAAATTGTTATCTGATTATCTGGTCCATGTGAATGTGGTCCTTAACTCCTAGCCAGTGGTCTCCTTCTCTCAATATGTCCCTATCATGCCATGTGCTTGGACTGTTAGTTTTGAGCCATCCAATTACTGTCCATGAGTCCCCTTCCACTATAATGTCTCAATAATTTAGAGATTTCCCCAATCTTAGCCCCTGGAGTTATTTGAAATATGAACTTCTTCCTAGCATCTTATTTCTTATCCACAGATATACATTTGAAAATGATGGATTTTTAATAATTGCTACCTAAATCAAACTATCTGTGAACTATCCCCCATCTCATGCATTATAAATTGCTAAGGTCTTTTTCCGTTTAGTTGGTTGGTTGATTATATGTATTTTTTTTAATTTGTTATTATCATACTAAATGTAAAGTTGTTAGAGGCACTCGATCCAGTCTGGTCCTATCTGTGGACAAATTTTTACATAATGGCGTTATTCTTATTTCATTTTCTATTGTTCTATCATAATAGGATAGGACTGTTGTACCATGATATGTTTAGTATATTGCCTCGAGGGCATTTTTGTAATTGTAAATAGTTTTTTTCCCTCCTAATGACGAATCCTTTTGTGGGCTGTGGAGTGGGGTGGGGGGATAGTTATTCGAAAACACATCCTAAACACTTCTTTGTTGCTTCTATGGAATCCTTGCAATAACAGTCACCTATGGTGAAACCATCTTTGTGGAACCGTTTATGCAACCTCTGAGAAAAGCAAGTTCTTTTTGTGCACAAGGCTTTTATGATTTTAGTGTTGCACATACTGGTTTTAACTTTTCCATATTGTTATTTTTATTTATGTTACAGTTATTGTTACCACTACTGTTGTTACTAAATACTAATACTATTTCTAGTATTATGATATCCTCCTAATGCAAATGCAGGAATTTCTATTTTGAAAAAATTGTGTAATAAGTTTTGTTCTTGCCTAATGCTAAAATCCATAGCATGTTTCTTCTCTCTTTTCTGATATACAGAGACCGTCGTATTTTTTAAAATGTTCTAGTTACATGTTTTCATTTACTATGCCAGAGCCTACTTTGCGTCGAGGAGATTCAGTCTATCTTGTGGGGTTAAGTAGAAGCATGCAGGCAACATCTAGGAAATCCATTGTGACCAATCCTTGTGCTGCTTTGAACATTGGCTCAGCTGATTGCCCACGGTACAGAGCAACAAATATGGAAGTGATTGAACTTGATACTGGTAATCAGAATTACATTACCCAAAGTAGATACTAATTGTGTAAATTGAATTTCTGGTTCTGTTGCATGGAACTTGTATTTAATAATGTTGGCAAGATCATATTCGTCTTTGTTCAGATTTTGGCAGTACATTTTCGGGTGTGCTAACTGATGAACATGGAAGAGTTCAAGCTATTTGGGGAAGCTTTTCCACTCAGGTTTGCATCAATGTCTTGAATCACTGTTGTGTGAGGTGAGGCATTTCAGTTACCGATTTGTGGCTTAATCCACAATGCATGTGGAATAAGCCTTAGGACCACGCACTTTATAATTAATAAATAAATAACAGAAATGGAAAACCATGAGAAAATAAACAACTAAATAATTGAAGCTTTCCTAATAGTTAACATCATCATACTTCTAAGTTATATACTTGAACATGCCCTATACTTGGATATTGGAGATTGGAAACTACACAGACAAATAAATACAGATATAAAGAGTTTCTGAGACAGAGTGATTGAGCACTGGGCTTATGTGAAACAACTATGCCCAATTGGTTCTGAGTACAAAACCAAGATGGTTCGTTTGATATTTCTAAAGACTCCCCTATTCCAAGTCTTCCTTGGTTACCCAAACTACACCTGTCAAAATTTAACTTAATGGAATTTGAGCTTGGGGGAATCAAAGGATGAGTGCAGGAGTCCTTTTCAAGGATGTTGTCAACACAAACTTATTTGTGATGATATAATTAATGGAGAAGGGGAGAAAGATTCCATGGACTTCAGTTCATCCAATGTGCCACCCTTACAGAATTATTTTCAATTAATGCTTCTTTAATATTTCTCTACTCTTTGGGCAATAAATGGGACTTATTCCATGCCCAAGCTTGAATAAAATTGAAACTTATATGTACACCAAACATAGTTTTAGTTCATTTTCCCCCAAAATCAGCAAGAACGGGATTTAAATAGGTCCCAGTAGTGAACCAAACAGGACTTAAAATGGAATTCAATAACCAATGAACTATTTTATAGGAAAGTGTCTTAGTATTTTATTGATAGAAAAATGATAGCAGAAAATCTCCTGTACATCTAGATAAAGGCACGTGCAGTATGGAATCATCCCATATACAAGTATAATCTTCTCAAGCTATGTACATTTTTTACGTTCAATCCTCTAAGGAGAACAAAAAATGATGTTTTCCCAATGATTACAAAATATGGGAGAAAGTCTATAAATTTAGCTAGGATTCATGATCAAGAATATGTTATACATTCCACCTTGCCAATGAGCTATGTTACAAGACACTTCAAAGTGGTTATTGCATACCCATGTCAGACATGTATGCATACAGTTGAAGGGATTCTTTTTTTATCAGAAAAAGATAATTTTATTAATTTAATTATATATGTGATTACAACTTGATGACCAATATGTCAACCCAAAGAACTGAAGGAGATTACAATGAAGCCCAAAAAAGATGTTGCCTTGTTGCCCCTTGCTTAGCAAGGGAATCAGCTAGCCCATTTGCAGTCCTTCTCACCCACTTGATTTCAGCACCTATATCTTTTGCAATCCCTTCCACTTCCCTGAGAACATGTTTGAGGTTCCACTTCCCTTCCACCTCTAGCTGTCTAAGGCCCAGTTGCTTAGCTAACCTCAGTCCTTGTAACAAAGCCATCAATTCAGCCTTCACAGAATTTGTGATGCCAAGTGGCCCTGAGGAAGGCCAAGATTCTTCTCTCAGAATTTCTGATTACACCTATACCTTCTGGGGGTTTCCATTCCATTTTGATTCTCTCCTTATCCCTCAAGGATCATGCTACTTCAGTCCAAGCTCTTGTAATATCATTGATTAAAAAATTCTGGAAGCAGTCCAAAGTCTTTACCCATAGTACAAAATCTTGGGGTAAAATCTAGACATGGATGGTTTGCACTAACTTATACATCTATGTTTTTTTCCTTTTTCAACAATTATCCCATCATTAATTTATATATTACATGAAAGACAAAAATCCTTAAAAAATGTAACTTAAAACTAAAGTATTGATGCTGAATCCCCAAACCTTATTTTTTGGGCTTGTCAAGTCCAACACCCCATATCCATGTTAGATTCTGATACTTGCACCAGTGTCCATGTAACATAGACGATGGTAGACAACACTTATTCCCAAAAAATTCTGTTGCATAGAAAAAGGTATCAAGTTCCAGAAGATATTTCCTACTTTCCATGCTTGCTAAAGCTTCTCATTGGCTATGTCTCAACTCTCAATTATGCAAGCAATGTCCCTTGGTATAACCCATTGTCTTCCAATTATGGAGTCCATGATTTGATGGCCAATTTTATTAATTATTTATTCTTTACTAATAAGTAAATGCATTTAGCCAAATTACTAAATTATAGCAAAGAAGATAATGAGGCTAACATTGGTATGTACTAAATATCCAACAACTAAGCAACCAATAAATATTTGTTGATGAAAAGAAAAGGGAATAAATAAGAAAGTACAATGATGATTAGGAGAAAGAAATTTTTCAAAAAAATGATGATTAGGAGAAAGAAAGAATGAATGAATGAATGAAAAACTATTCATTATTTTAAATTTTCTTTGTTGATTAAAAAACAGCAATAAACTTCTCAACCAACATACTGATAAAAGGAAGCTATTATGTTTAATTCTGTTTTGTATTAGTAGAGGAAAGCAAGAAGGAAAGAAAGAAGCAAAGAAATAAGGAAGAAATTAAAGGTATGAATCTTTGACATTTCATTTTAGAAAGCTACCTGATCTTAATTTTTTACTAATTTTGTTTTCTAAAAAATTCTTTTGTTTTTTCTTCTTGTTATAGGTTGGGGCAGAAGAAAGTAAAGGAAACAAAGGAAATTAGTAAGAACTGGAAGGAGGAATAGATGGAAAAAAAAGACCTCGGTTTTATGCTTTTGTAATGTTTTATTTGGAAGATATAAATAACCAAAAAAAGGAAAAAAGGGAACCAGAATTACATGCTGTTCTTTAAAAGCAGGAACAATGAGAAGGCCTATAAGAAAAGAATAGTACGAAGGGTTTTAGGGAAAATTATATGCATGGCGTTCTTGTGGAACAGAAAAGGGAAAGAAAAGAAGGATATAAAGATGGGGGACTAAATAATTGATTTATGTATACCAATTAAAATAAAGGACTTGTCTCTTCATTGGATCCTCTTCCTCTAACCTTGAAAATCTATCTTCTCTCTGTTCTTTGTCACTTCCCCCAAAACCCTTCTCTTAATAAAGTAAAAGAGTACATTTTGTCTAACAATTCTAGATCAAATAGTATAGTAACTACAGTAATACCTATAATGTGTTTATAACTAAAGATGTATAGCACATGCCACATGCTTACAACATGAAAACAATGTAGACATAAATGGCGAAGGTGAACCCCTTTTCCAGGGAACATTTTTATGCACTTCATGGTCCTTAAACACTTGTTCACAAGGCACTTTTCGAGGTGCATGTCTGTGAAGTTTGTTATTTAAAACATTGTTCTGTACTGTTGCTAATGTGCTGACCTGCACAACTGCAGCTGAAATATGGTTGTAGCACTTCTGAAGATCATCAATTTGTTAGAGGTATACCAATTTATGCAATTAGCCAAGTGCTTGAAAAGATCATTCAGGGTGCAGCAGGACCTCGACTACTCATAAATGGTGTCAAAAGGCCAATGCCTCTTGTGAGGATTTTAGAAGCTGAACTTTATCCAACTTTGCTTTCAAAAGCTAGAAGCTTTGGGTTGAGTGATAATTGGGTCCAAGTATGCTCCCTTCCTCTTGATATATTTGTATTTTTTTCATCTCTTTTGGAAAGTATGCTCCCTTCCTCTTTATCCAAGTAGGCCATTTCCCTTTTCTTTATCATCTACAATGCTACCAAGTTTGTCACATGGATTATGATATCTTCTCTGGTTTTAAACTATTTAGATAGCCTTATCTTATCAAATACTGTAGGACTATTATGTGCTATAACTTTTAACTATTCTAATCACTAGGATATTAAATTTTTCTAGTTTGATAGTGGATGTCAAGAACGCCTTTTTATAATGGCATCTAAAGGTGACATATATATATATATATATATATATATGAAGCCTCCTCTTGGCTATTCTAATGATTCCTCAGTTTATTGGCTGAAGAGATCTTTATATGGTCTTAAACAAGTGGAAAAAGGGTATGAACCAATAAGAAGTGTAATGGAGCTATCACCATCTATTGAGGTCAAGAATTGTGATGAAAGGTGTTTAAATCGAAAAGAAAAATCAATTTTGGACTAAAAGGGGCCATTACTTAGTGTAATGGTAAAATCTTGGGCTGGCAAGCATGAGAATGTGGGTTAAAGTCTGAGAGTAGCCACTTTGTGCAAAACAAAAATGCAAAAGGTTAGGACCATATCGAGTCTACCCCTCCCAAAACCCCAAGTAGCTGGGACCAACATTGGGTAATGGCTTTTGGACTATAGAAATTTCCTCAAGTCTAGTTTAATAGGTTTCATGGATGCAATTTGAAAGATTGACTTCACAAGCTCTCCCTCAGCCCCCCCCCCCCCTTCCAAATTCTAAAATCTTTACTGTTGAATAGTCAGAGAAATTCATACACTAGAAAATATTCTGTTTTTTTTTTTTTTGCATTTCTTCCTTTCTTTTTCTTAATGTTGGTTCTTTTCGCACATCTTCCATGGTTTTTTAAACATGTAGAGTGATACGCATGGTACTTTATACATCCAATCCAAGTTCACAAAAGGAAGTATGTGAAAGCATTTCATTTTATCATATTTTCTCATTTTGCAGATTGCAAATTGTATAAAGCAACATATATGGGTGCATACAATTCACATTGTAGAAATTTATTGGAAAAGTTGGTTATCATCTTAGTAATTTATTTGTTTACATATTTTAATTTTTTATTTTCTCATTTAATTTTTATTCTTTCTTCTATTCATATCTTTTTTCTGCCCTGAAAGTTTGTGATATTCATAATTAATGCTTAACAACCTGAAATTGAACCCTTATCTCTTGCAACTACTATACTGCATACCATTAATATTTTTCTTGTGTCTGTTTGTTTCATAATTTCTGTCACTAACAAAATCATTGATGCATTATTATTTGCAGGCTCTTGTCAAGAAAGATCCAATAAGACGTCAAGTATTGCGTGTTAAAGGTTGTTTGGCTGGATCAAAAGCTGAGCGCCTATTAGAACAAGGTGACATGCTCCTAGCAATCAACAACGAGCCTATAACATGCTTCCGGGACATAGAAAACGCTTGCCAAGAATTGGACAAATATGGTGATAGTGAGGGAGGACTTAATGTGACTATCTTTCGACAGGTAGACAAACTGCATATTCATTCTTTTTTTGTTTCCCCCTCCTCTCTTTTGTTTTCCATTTCCCAATGGCATGTCATTCAGCTTCAAATGAGAAGGAAGAATAGTTTGCATCATTTACTTTTCATTACTTTGTTCATGTTGTTTGGAAGGGGCGAGAAATGGAGCTTGTTGTGGGAACAGATATTAGAGATGGAAATGGCACAACACGCATGGTGAATTGGTGTGGATGTATTGTTCAAGATCCTCACTCAGCAGTGCGTGCCCTTGGTTTTCTTCCCGAGGAAGGGCATGGTGTGTATGTAGCAAGGTCAGTTTTTTTTTTTTTTTTGCTTGCTTAGGATTATAAAACAAGCAATGGGATGATATCATTAGTCATCTTAGAGGGATGTACACTTAGGGTGTCGAACTTCATTTAGTTGAACAGCTCAACTTAGTATGCTTGGCTCATCAGAACCCAAGCTGGTGCTCAGCCATGCGGCTTGCAGCCCATAACCATAGCCTGAAGACTAGGATGTGTCCATTGTCTAAGATAGTTTGACTTTATTTTAGGATGGTTGGGTTCCGTGAATGCTAATTAATTGTTAACAGTATTTTATAATGTTTACAAGTAACCATTTAATGTTAAGAAGAAATGAGGTGTAGTATGCTACTATCCAATTTCACCTTGGATATCGTAGTGTTATTAGTTATTACCAACACCCCTGGTTATCAATGCGATGATCTCCATACCCATGGATCATCTGGCTGGCAGGGTTTGAGTTCAAATGTTGCAGTTAGAAGAACTTCTCATGTGGCTGTGGGATTTTGGTGTTTGCAAACCATTTGTTGGGCAAAGTTCACTCTAGACGACCCTAATCACTCTTTCCAAGTTGACTTCCAGACAAACAATTCGTCATCTCTTTTTACCCTTTTCTTCCCTTGATATTTCATACTTCATTGTATAAGCTACCACATAAGTAATGCCACTTAATCTGATTGATGGATAGACTAGAAGCTGCACAAATTTTCTGTTGAGAACTGAATTAGTTGCAATTAATTATGGATAAACTACCTCTTCTTTCTTGTTAATTGCATAATTGGTTCTTGTAAAGTCTATAACGTAGAAAAATTACTGAATTAATCTAACCTGCAGATGGTGTCATGGGAGTCCAGTACATAGATATGGCCTGTATGCTCTCCAGTGGATAGTTGAAGTTAATGGGAACCTCACTCCAGATTTGGAAGCATTTGTTAATGTGGCAAAGGTATATGTACTATGTACTTTATTGTTACCTTTTTATGTCTTCACAATTTTAACTAATTGATTTCTTTAGCATCTTTCAAATATAGCAACTTACAACACAACATAATGCATTCTTGTCATCTTATGCTAACTGCACAAAGTGAGATAAGAACAAGAAACCTGCATGCCAGTTAACATAAAGAATTTATTGTATTTTCTATGAGCCTATGATCTATGATGGGTTATGCTGAATGTATGTCTGACTTGTTCTTGATAACTGAATTTTTTGTTGTTCTTTGTATAGTATACATGCCATGGGTTATGCTGAATATATGTCTGACTTGTTCTTGATAATCAAATGTTTAGTCCTAAGACTACATAATGCATAACCATGCAAAGGTTAACATGTAGACAACACATTTTCAAGACAACCATTTTAAGAGGACTGCAATTGATTCCTTTCCTGCATAATCCATAATGGAGAGAGATGCCACGGGCAGAGTTTCACCATTCCACGATTGAGTTTCTCATTCTCATACCAAATTTTGCTAATTTTCACAGTTGATACATGTAATATATGCCGCCTGGTACTACTAGAGCATTTGCCACCAGGTGGTATAACTATACAATTAGACCATTACCCATTCGGTTCTTTCCCTGTTTGTTTCGTCAATTTGCCTTGCACATTGGATGACTTTGACCCATCAGCATTTCTGTGTATACATTTTACCCTTGTTCTTTTTTTTATCAATAACCACAATGGAGTGCCTCATTTCATTTTTGGTTAATTTATTTCCCTCTTATTATATTCGTATTTTATTGATTAGAATCTTTTAAATAATCTGACAGGGCTTGGAACATGGGGAGTTTGTTCGAGTAAGAACAGTCCACTTGAATGGGAAGCCTCGGGTGCTAACATTGAAGCAGGATTTGCATTATTGGCCCACATGGGAGCTGAGATTTGATCCAGAGACTGCTACATGGCGCCGTAGAACCATCAAAGCATTGGACTGCAGTCTTGCATGAATAAACAATTTGAAAATATGACGGGAATCTAGAAGAAGCACCATGTTGGTACTTCAGCAGGACCTACTGGTCCTATTTATAATGGCGATTTTGTGTTAGATGAAATAGGCAGGCACAAATCATGTTTGGGAGAAATATACATGTAATTAATCTATATGTAAGTTAAACTGCTATTTGCAGATTGTAAATGACTATTATGTGGTTTAACACCTCTAAAATTTATTTACAAACATGTGTGGATTACTAAAAGAAAATTGTTTGCAATCATATTATTTTAGGCAAAGAAATTCCTTACATGCTATATGCAATTCAGACTCAGACCTCATGTATCAGCAGACAGAAGCAGAGTACCAGTGAAAGTGTAGGCACACCCGACTTGTGATATAAATTTTCTTATAATAATGGATGTTATCAAATGCTCGGTGTATGAAAGAACACTGAAATTTGCAGGATTTTTCCCTTCGCAATTGCAGCAAGTCCTGACTCTGAGATGCATCAATTTCTAATCATCCTTTGATTTTTCCCTTCAATTCATATCTCTACTCTTGTTATTGTTATTTCCTTTGCTCATTGCCTTGTTTAAGCTATTTTTAGCACAAATGTGTAGCATGACAAAGAGAAGGATTCCAAGGACAACAGAAGACTGGTGGTGCTTTAGAAAATCATTCTTATATAAAATACACATTTGAGGATCGACTGAGAGCTCAATGTGCTGGCCGAACCACACTTCCAGACTTCAAGAACTAATCAATTTCTTTGCCAAATTTAATTTGCATTGATGTAAATGCATGGAGGTAAAATGGGAAGTAAAATTTAGTCGCCACCTCATGTGACAGTGGGAGGGTTAGTAAGATATATAGTTAGATGATGATGTGGTACCCACTTTATATGAAACAACATAGCTAGAAGGAAGATGGTGCAAATTTTTCTCAGTTTTTGAAATGCAAAGTTTACACTGTAAATGAATGCAAATGAGAAAAAAAATGTATCAGAGCTCAAATCACAATTACAAAGGATGTAAAATTGAATTGGGTGCAAAATCCGTATTCAGTTCAGATTTGCACTGCAAAAAGCAGAACTATCAAAAAGGGCTCGACCTTGGCCCAAATGAAGCATATTTCTTCAATGCCTAATGTCTCAGCCATGACTCCACATGTCTATCTTGCCCACACTCGTAAAGCCTAACAGAGTTCCAGAAGGTGTTTCATCACTGATCTGCTAGTAATTCACCCAGTTTTGGTTTGGCATTTCTCAGGCAGATTGAAAAATTTAATAAATTAGTCCATTTAACGGAACTCTCCTCTCCCCTCTTCCTGAAACTCATGTAGAAGCTGGAAAGTTGACCTGATACCTACAATTTTTTTTATTGGAAAGACATTTTTTAGAGACTTATTTTGGAAAACCTTGGGATAGAATGGAATGGTTGGGATATCAGGATATGTATGGATATAATCGGGAAATCCATATAAACCTTGTAACTACATCATAATCGAACAAATTAATTGGCTATAAATAAAGTCATATCATGCAATCAACATATCAGACTTTGAACCAATTGTAACTTACATTTGTACATAAAGATACACGATTCCCCTGAAATTTTCTAAATTTTGGAGAAACTTACATTCCAAATTATATATATATATGAAATGACTACACTTGAAACCACCACTGTTGCAAATTAATATGCAAAAATATTAAAAAAACACATTATAAAATATAAATTTGTAATATATACATGAAAAGTGAAGGCTCATAAATCAAGTCATAATTCTTAAATTGGAATTAGGGCTGTTCACGGGTCGGGTTGGGTCGGTTTACTGAGGTTTTTCCAATCGATCTGACCTGGTCGAGTTACCTGAACTTGAAACCGAAACCGATCCAGTGTTAAGCAAAACCGACCTAGTCGGTTTGAGTCGGGTTGGGTCGGTTTGGGTCAGTTTCAGCTCTAAGTTCAACCATGTTTGACAGAAACTCAATTGCAATATATACGTGGGGACTATGGCACCACAGTATGTGAGGTAGTGAATGCGGGAAAAGCCTTGTTTTTGATATACAAGATATACCTCTAGTCCACAATTTGGACTTTGGAGAGGAGAAGAAGAGCAAAACCCATATATAATAACAGTAGGAACTAACTACTAACTAGGAAGTAGGAACTAACTACTAACTAAGTCGGTTCGGTTTGGTTCGGGTCGGTTTCGGTTTTCTTGTGTGAAAACCAAAACTGACCCGAACCATCGGTTTATGATGTTTTACAACCCAAAACCAACCGGTGCTGAAGATAACCCAGCCGACAGGTTGGGTCAGTCCGGGTTGGTCGGTTTGGTCGGGTTTGGCCTTCTTATGAACAGCCCTAATTGGCGATTTTTTAGAGGTGGATGCTTAATGGGCAAAGGTTCTCCGAGCCAAAAACCTGAGGCTGTGTTTGGTTACGGTGCAAATAAAGTTGCATTGATGCAAAACTATGGTAAGTGATTTGGATGCAAATAAAGCTGCATAATGTACCAGTTTTGGGTCGGACCTGTCTAAATCCAAATCAATTTGGATGGATTGAATGGACCAATAAGACATTGAATTGAATCAATTCAGACTTAATGGTCCAAACTCTAAAGTATTTATGGATTGGATTGGACATGATCCATCCGTAATGGATTTATATTGGATTGGGTCAGATTGAACCAATATCTGATCCATTGATAGAAGATAAGAATAGAAGCGTCGATGGATTAGGTTTGAGTTAGAACAAATCTAAATTAAAACCAATTTGAACAGATTGGACAGTCCAAACATTGAATTGGACTGGTCCAAAATTATTCAAAGTATTCATCAAATTGGATTGGACATGATCCATCTGTAATGGATTCATATTGGACCAAATCCGCTCCAATTGACACCCCTACGGCCCTACCCCGGGATAAGTTCACTTTTGCTTCTGGATATCGCCTTCTCATTTCAAACCAACCCAGCAAGCTCTAATCATCATCTCATTGAGGGGTTGTGTAACATGGTCCAAATTCTTGATGCTCCTTCTCCACTTTGTGATGATTGAACACTTATACCTACAATGCCCGATATCGAAGACAGTTTGGTTTGGATCTGACGCTAGTGCAATGGATTATGGATAGTTCATTGGGGGATGACCATGAGATATCAAATCTGACTATTAGTAAATATTTTTATTATTATTTGGCATTTGTAGAATGGTAGACAAAGCCTCTTGACTCGTTGAAGATTAATTTTGATGGTGTAACTCCAACCTCTAATCAGCCGTGGGCATTGTCATCAGAGATGAAAGAGGATCCTTTGTTGTTGCTCACGCTATCCCAATTGAAATTTTCAAGATTATTTTACCAAGAGTTGAGATCTTTTGCCAATAAAACATGTTTCAATGCATTACCAACATGATCTGACACTGCACATCTCACCATGAGATTGAGATTCATGGTAAAAATGGGACCTGTCATGTATGAGATATTCGGTGTCTGAACATGTTAGGAGGGTGTTGGAACGTGTTTTATTGGCAGGAGATCTCCGATTCTTTTATCATATCTTCCCAATTTTTCAGTTACTTTTGCTCCCAGGTCTTGTAACTGTACGTGCTGCTCATGGGGTAGCCAAGTTTGCTCTGCTCTATTTGAACTTGTCCACCATTTCTGCTTTCCTCTTGTGAACTCTGATGTAACTGAGACGCTTTGATGAATCCAAAGAGTACTATAAAAAACAATATTGAGATCCATACTGGGATATACATGGATCCATGAAAAACTAATATATTGATAAATAAATTATAAAAATTTAAATAAATCTTAAAAAAAATACATCAATAATACTAAATTTAAATAAATGATTATAAACAACACAGATACATATCATATAAGAAACTTTTCGTTTACATTTCATCATAGTGATACTGATTTTGGTGTAAGTATGAAACCACTAAAGGTGGGATCCATCCAATTATGGATTCTGATCCTCTGAACAAGAAACAGTTGGCAAGCCATCTGCAACTGAGTGTTGTGTAAACAAACGCTGTGTCAATAGGTTGTTGAGAGTTGGACACAGTATAAGACCTAGAGTCAAGTTGGATCCGATTGGTATGGGGTAATTGATTGAATCAATTCTGATTGGTTGCCTTAGAATAAAAACTTTGTTTCAATTTGAATATCATGTTAATTGATAAAATCAACTAGCTCCATTCTAATCCATGCAACGTCATTAAAAATTCAACAAAAGATGGCTTTCCCCACACTTCTTAATTTGTGGGATCGAATCTTAATTGAATCAAGTTGGAATAATTCTAGATTAAGTATGTATTTGATTTATTTTCTATTTATTGAGTAAATATTTTATACTTATGTGACTGTAAAACCGAGAAAAGCAATTAATGATGGTGTTTATAACACATAGGCACCATTAGACACCACATCAGCAAAGTGCCAATAAATGCTTATCCATTTCAGAAAGCTCCAAAATAAAGTTTCCTAAAACAAGAAAGGCATGCAAAAATCAATATTTTGCAAACATCAATTCGTACAAATGCACATAATGAGGCCTTTGCTGATGGGGCACTTATGTGGCAGTGTTTACTCAATAAACATAAATAAAACCAAACACATACTAATTCTCATAAAAAATTGATCCAACATTTTAGATCATGAACTGATCCATTGACAACCCCATACAAAATAAACCGCTCCCTCAATTTTGTACCTGAACAATTGGGGTTAACAGGGTTCATTCACTAATCCAGGTGGATCAGACCATCATCAGTAGTGCCCACTAGCCCACTATCGTATACTCCCCTAGGTGATCCACCCCCCCCCCCCCCCCCCTCTTTCTCTCTCTCTCATTATCCGTTACATCATGAATTAAATAAAAGTGAAGTTGGCAAGGTGGCACAGTCAAGAAATGGCATGGCCCGGATGCTATGCACTATAATATAACATGTCCACATCTCTCTCTCTCTCTAAAAGTTTATAAGGTTATGTTAGGTAAGAAAGCAAAAGGGTCCCACCCTCCCTGGCCATTCATTCAAACAGCTGCATGAACCATCACTATCTTTGTATTCTTCTGGACTGATAGGAGCCATAACTATCCGTTAGAATTTGATGCACACCGATGGGTTCCCACTGTGAAATACTTACTAATTGAAGGCTTTGACTGGATCTTGGATGTGTCTTCACAGTTCACATGGGTTGCCTTGTGCCTCAGTCAGCACGTGAGGACCGTCCCGCCACTTACCAGCTCACCTCACATGATTAATTTTCAATTTGTACAGCGCAATATCTGCTACATCTT